GAGTGACGATGAAACTCTGAATGAAAACGGTTGTGAATGGGTCTATGAGTGACGATGAAACTCTGAATGAAAACGGTTGTGAATGGGTCTTTAAGTGACGATGAAACTCTTAAGAAAATTTTCGTGAATGGAGTGGTGAAACTCTGAATGAAACATAGTAATTGGAAATAAAAACTTTGATGAATGGATTTGAGACTGAAGCTAAAATAATGAATGGAAACGATTATAAGTCTGTTGAAATAAATAATCTTAGTAATTATATTAATGTTATTACTGTATTACCAATACTGCTAGTTGTGCTACCATTACCGACTTATTAATATGATAACTATGCACCATATTATTCTAATGATTATTATCTTGATATGTATGCATATTCTCATATGATGATAATAATAATAATAATAATAACAAATCAATTTCTCAAAATTTCCCCCAAACGTTAATCGTCACAAGAAAAAGGTATGAATAAATAGATATATAAAAAGACAGAAAGACATATATTGATAGATGGATGACTAGATAGATAAATAAATAGAATTTGACATATAGACAGATGAATAGACAGATAGCTGAATAGACTGACAGATAGATAGAAAGATGGATATATAGATGAACAGATCTCTCTCTCTCTCTCTCTCTCTCTCTCTCTCTCTCTATATATATATATATATATATATATATATATATATATATATATATATATTTATATATATATATATACATATATATATATACACACACACATACACACACAAACACACACACACACACACACACACACACACACACACACATATATATATATATATATATATATATAGAGAGAGAGAGAGAGAGAGAGAGAGAGAGAGAGAGAGAGAGAGAGAGAGAGAGAGAGAGAGAGAGAGAGAGAGAGACAGAGACAGAGAGAAATAAGTAAATAGACAGACAGACAGACAGGGCAACAGATAAACAAACAGACAGATAAACACATAATCAAAAAGACAAAAACTGAAAAGCGATCAACACTCACCGTACCTATCCTTGGCGTTGATATTGGCGTCGACTGCCAACAGGCCCTGCGCTTCTCTCCTATGGCCGCTCCACGCTGCCAGGTGGAGGGGCGTGCGTTCTGGAGGGAAGAGGAGGGAAGTTGAGAAGGAGGGAGGGAAGGAGGGGCGTGCGTTCTGGAGGGAAAGGGAGGGAAGTTGAGAAGGAGGGAGGGAAGGAGGGGCGTCCGTTCTGGAGGGAAAAGGAGGGAAGTTGAGAGAGAGAGAGAGAGAGGGTAGGAGGGTAGGGGGGGTTGGAGGGAGGGAGGTGGAGAAGGAGGGAGGGAGGGAGGGAGGGATAGGGAGAGTGAGTGAGTGAGTGAGTGAGGGGGTGAGTGGGTGAATGAGTGAGTGAGTGAGTGAGTGTATGTGTGTGTGAGTGCCTGATCGAGAGAATGAGTGAATGCGTGAGTGAGAGAATGGGTGAGTGAAAAAAATGAGAGAATGATCGAGTGAGTAAGTGAATAGAGTGATTGAGTGCGTGAGTGAATGAATGAATGAATGAATGAGTGAGTGCGACAGTGAGTGAGTGAGTGAATGAGTGATTGAGTGCGTAAGTGAATAAGTGAGTGAAGATAAGAAAAAAAAGTGAGAAAGTAAAAAGAGCACGAGACAGAGAGACAGAAAGAAAACGCCAGCGAACACACTCAACACGAAATGAAACCTATTTACGAAATAAAACGCACCTGTACCATCCTCTCACCAATTACACCCACCCACCATTACAACCTTTGTCACAGCATCACCTTCTCCACGTGTACACCTGCAAACACCCGCCGCTACTATTGAATAAAACCTCTACTACAAAACCTCATGAATAAAACCTCTACAACAAAACCCCCTTCTCACCATTGATATCAGTGTTGTCAAGAGAAGCGTGGGCCTTCAAGAGTGTTGTCAGGATGGCGAACTGTCCATTGTAGGCAGCCATGTGTAGCGGTGTCCTTTCTGTAACGTGGATATCGTAACGAAAGATCAAATTTGATCTGTATTCAGTACGTTTGTACACTTTGTCAAACTTATTATCAACACTCTTTGCCTCTGTAGGCCTATTCTAAATAAATGTAAATGGTACTTGCATTCTACACGTCTGTGCTTTTTATCATTATTTTGTTTTTTTAATTTTATCTGGAAGTGTATTAGTGTATTTTGGCAATATTTAATGCAATGTAACATAAAAAAAATATATATATATATATATATATATATATATATATATATATATATATATATATATATATATATATATATATATATATATATATATATATATGGTAAAAGCACACTAGGAGAAAAAAGTTGCATAAAGAAAAGCAGAATAAAACCGGGGGTCCATCACCAGGGAGTCGCAGGATTGCTGTAGTATTATATGCTACTTTCTTTGGGGGGGAGAGGGGCATAGGCTATTTTCTGGGGTCGTGAGGTACCATCTGTGGGACTATGGGGTCACTTTCGGGGGATATGGGCTA